AATTTGAAGTGACAGAAATTGAGAATTGGTTCCAGATTATGGGTTTATCTCACCAGTAATCAAGCAACATTCTTAGCATAAGTAATCAAGCAACATTCTTTGCTATAAGTGGTATCATAAGTTCTTCTCTTGTAGTAATGAGCACTTGAGATCACAGAGAGCAGATCTGATATAAAAGCACGTCCCCTCTGCAGGTGATACAAAAACCAACAGTAATTGGAGCACATCAGCAGTTATCTTCGGTAAGCAATGACTGTCATACGTCACAAATAATACAGTCCAACATGGAAACAAATCAAGGATGCAAAGAGAAAACAACAAAGACCTCTAAAGTTTCAATAAGTAACCATTAAATCAAAATATATTTCTAAAAAATTAAAGCAATAGTAACAGATCAATGGTGTAGCAATTAAATCCACAATTTTCTCATTCCACTGCTCAATGGTGTAGCAACTAATCACTTGCATTTCATCAAACAGGTTATGTGCAAGAAGAGGGTTGGGTTTGCTGCTTCAAATCTATGGTTGAGGGTGTGCGGAGTGTGTATCGTCGGAGTTGGTGGTGGCAGTGATGGTTCGATATACTTCTTGTTGTGGTCGTTGCTAGTCTCGTTCTGGTCATTGGTCACCAGTGGTTTGGTGTAGAGTGATGATTTTCGCATTGCTGGTGACGATTAAGGAAGGGGGTTTTGAGGCTGAGAATAGTGAGAGAGGCGTCAGAGATAGATGGGTCTCTAAGAGATATTTGACGAAAATCTCAATANGGTTAAGGAAGGGGGTTTCGAGGCTGAGAATAGTGAGAGAGGCGTGAGAGATAGATGGGTCTCTAAGAGATATTTGACGAAAATCTCAATAACATACAGAGATAAGAATTACATCACCTAGATCTAACNGATTAAGGAAGGGGGTTTTGAGGCTGAGAATAGTGAGAGAGGCGTCAGAGATAGATGGGTCTCTAAGAGATATTTGACGAAAATCTCAATAACATACAGAGATAAGAATTACATCACCTAGATCTAACCTCAATCACAAATTCCTAACTAATTCCTAACCAAAACACGA